CCCCCCCCCCCCTAGAAGCATGCACCTTCGGCAATCGTTTAGGAAATCGGTCACTATTAGTCCTAGAGCCGTGGCTGTGACCAATGTCATTTTGTGAAGAACCCCTCTCTAAGAAGTAGATGAACTATGAGCAGAAGATCCGTATGGGTATTGACAAAGTTTGTAATAAGGGAAGGCTCATCTCTGAGGTCCAACCTTAATCTTACAAACCCCACTTTTAACAGAAAAGGTACCCTTTTGTATACCTTCCATTGACAAGTGGTACCCCTTTCACATACCTGGCTTAGAACACTGCATCCGTTTTAACTTCTGTAAATACAAAGTCTTCTTTTCATCATTAAATCACTAAAGTAAACCAGGAAGTGTTTTTGTCTTTTTCACAGTCATGTGTCTGTTAACCCTTTTAGGTTCTTTTACAGGCCGCAATTACAAATTTACCTACCCTTTCACATACTTCAGCCAGTGAAATCGCTACCCTTTCATGTACCCGAAGCCTAGAGGTATGCTTTTTGGGAGTATCCTGCAGGGGCGTAGCCAGGATTTTTCCAAAGGTACGCACAATTTTCCAAATCCCGCTGCTTCCCCTCCCCCCATCCCGCTTTCCCCCGCACAACAACGTTTTCACGCTTTATAAATCCAGCTTGCCTTTGCGCTTTTCCCCTCCGCTTCTCTAAGTATATTGGTCCACCAATGAATCACGCGTCGCTTCGCTGGAAACCGATATTCAGGTGTAAGAAAGAAAAGAGTTTATTGTTTCAGAAAAAATATTCCAGCGAAACAAGCAGAGTTAAATGAATTGGTGAAACTTTTGTTTTTTTTTTATCATTTATTTGCTTATTTCAGATAGTTCGCTTTTTATTGTATAGACTATTGTTATCGGGAGCCGATTACGGCTCCTCTTGTTATAGAGTGATTTTACTTGAAAACAACACGAGAAAACAGATAGTAAGAAATAGTGCAAAATAGCGTGATGTAAACAAAACTGAGAAGACTAAAGAATTAGTGCATAATAGTGCGTAGTATTCTACTACCTATTTCACGGTTCAAGTAATTTTTTTTTTTTTTTTTTTTTTACCGCCGACTTTTTCAGGGGTACGCACGTGCGTACAGGTACCTACGCCCCTGTTACCCATTCTGAAGTGATATGGGTCAGGAGCCGATTACTTGGAGCCTCCATATGTGCTGTACCCTTGAGTCAACCCATTCCCGAAAAGAATTATTTTTAGAACTGTCAAGATTACAAGTAAACTTGAAGACGTCGCATGAGTGTCACCATTTTTTTTTTGTTATTAGGCTTTAAGCGGATATTTTTAACCCGATAGAAGTCAGATAACTCTTCCACGCTGGCTACCGCCATTGTTGGCAGCATTTCAAATCGCGCTTCTGTGACTCAGCGTATGACGTATGATCATAGCTCTGCTCTGATTGGATATTACTGAAAAGGCGTGAAAATATTCCGCGAAAGCTATTTCTATAAATAATTTTTCGTCGGAAAGGGTTGACTCCAAAGGCTTATATGGGAGATCGAGGCTTCAAGTAATCGGCTCTTGTATGGGTATTGCTCTTTATCTCTTTAAGTCTTCTGTATTGCATTACTTCTTTGTGACATTCACAACCCCGAGAGACTACTCCACTACCCCTTAATAGCGGACACAAACTGGCCCGATAGCTGAAAATTTAATATCCTGCCCGCTTCGGCGAAATGCTCGAAAACATCTTCCGAAATATTTGGATGTTGGGAAGTCATCGGAATGTCTTTCGTACGGTTAAGGACCGCTAAGAAGTTGTCATAATTTTTTCGGAAATTTGGGTAAGAAACAATCACATGCGTGTGACTTAGCAAATGTTGGGAGGTAAACAGATGTGGAACTGGGGCAGAACCTTACTGAAACCAAAAACAATAACTTAATTAAAGTGGAATTCCTGTTTTTATACACCTACTATAAACATGGTATTGCCAAACGAACGTAAGGGGAATACAATACAAGTAAATCTACCCATTTTCTCATTTTTTTTGGCATGGAATGTTTTTCTATAGTTAAGCTTTCTTATCGGGAACTTGGTACGGAAAATGAACAGAAAAGTTTTATATCTCGCCTCATGGATCAGAACCCAGCATCCGTGTTATTAAAATCAGCGCATTTGCCGTTTACGCCATCAACTGGGACTTTTGACTTGATTTTTTATAACTATCAGTGATTTCTTGGAAATTTGAATTGTGTAGTGGTTTTGCAGGAAATTTGTATTGATATGGAAGTCTTCTTTTATGAATATTTTACTGAAGTTTTGTCAGGGACCGCGCAGGGGGTGGGGCCGGGGGGGCTTTAGCCCCCCCACTTTTTTGGCTGTTGATGTTAGAACATTATACACTTAATGTCAGATCCCGAGGGAAACAGTTAGTTTTGTTTTCCCAAGAGTCCTGATGTTTCCCGAGACGAAGTCGAGGGAAACATCAGGACTCGAGGGAAAACAAAACTAACTGGTTTCCCTCACACACAATAATATTTCTACTTGTGTGAAAAATAAATTTTTTAAAAAAAAAAAAAAACCCTTTTAAATAAAAAATCTACCAAATTCCGTCTGTAAAGAATCCCAACCCCAAAAAAAGGGAACTTGGGGGGGAAAAAACCCAAACATTTCCCGCCCCTGGAACCCCCCCCCCCCCCCTAGAAGCATGCACCTTCGGCAATCGTTTAGGAAATCGGTCACTATTAGTCCTAGAGCCGTGGCTGTGACCAATGTCATTTTGTGAAGAACCCCTCTCTAAGAAGTAGATGAACTATGAGCAGAAGATCCGTATGGGTATTGACAAAGTTTGTAATAAGGGAAGGCTCATCTCTGAGGTCCAACCTTAATCTTACAAACCCCACTTTTAACAGAAAAGGTACCCTTTTGTATACCTTCCATTGACAAGTGGTACCCCTTTCACATACCTGGCTTAGAACACTGCATCCGTTTTAACTTCTGTAAATACAAAGTCTTCTTTTCATCATTAAATCACTAAAGTAAACCAGGAAGTGTTTTTGTCTTTTTCACAGTCATGTGTCTGTTAACCCTTTTAGGTTCTTTTACAGGCCGCAATTACAAATTTACCTACCCTTTCACATACTTCAGCCAGTGAAATCGCTACCCTTTCATGTACCCGAAGCCTAGAGGTATGCTTTTTGGGAGTATCCTGCAGGGGCGTAGCCAGGATTTTTCCAAAGGTACGCACAATTTTCCAAATCCCGCTGCTTCCCCTCCCCCCATCCCGCTTTCCCCCGCACAACAACGTTTTCACGCTTTATAAATCCAGCTTGCCTTTGCGCTTTTCCCCTCCGCTTCTCTAAGTATATTGGTCCACCAATGAATCACGCGTCGCTTCGCTGGAAACCGATATTCAGGTGTAAGAAAGAAAAGAGTTTATTGTTTCAGAAAAAATATTCCAGCGAAACAAGCAGAGTTAAATGAATTGGTGAAACTTTTGTTTTTTTTTTATCATTTATTTGCTTATTTCAGATAGTTCGCTTTTTATTGTATAGACTATTGTTATCGGGAGCCGATTACGGCTCCTCTTGTTATAGAGTGATTTTACTTGAAAACAACACGAGAAAACAGATAGTAAGAAATAGTGCAAAATAGCGTGATGTAAACAAAACTGAGAAGACTAAAGAATTAGTGCATAATAGTGCGTAGTATTCTACTACCTATTTCACGGTTCAAGTAATTTTTTTTTTTTTTTTT